TAAGTAGTTCACCTGCATAGTTCATGTTTTCAACTTCAGTATAGCTAAATATGATCCATAATGTAAAGTATCGCCAAATTTTCTCAGATCTCTAAATATCTGTCCATAAGAACTAGGGATTGCATATAAAGTAATATTTGAATTGATTACCAACTCATCCCACATTTCTCTGAACATGATAAAGAACGAAGTCAGCTTAAGCCCAGGCTGATAAAAAGCCTGCGCAACGACCGTGAACAATGGTGGGCAGCGAAAGCAAAAGCGATGGAAAAGGCAGCGGCGATAGGCAACAATAGACAACTTTTCCGCCTTATTAAAGAAACTGGTATTAGGAATCCTAGTGTAAGTGATACTATCTCGGAAAATGATGGAACTATTATTTATTCTCAATCCAGGAGACTGGACCGATGGGCAGAACACTTAAGGGATCAGTTCAACTGGCTTCGAGCCACTCTTCGGTTGCCCACGATCTCCAGTCATCCTGAATGGCAAATCGACGTAAGTCCCCCAAGTCTTATTGAAGTTGAGAAAGCGTTAGGAAATCTGAAGCGAGGACGAGCTGCAGGTCCTGATAGACTGACCCCTGAGATATTTAAGGATGGTGGTCCAGTTTTATCAGCTAGGTTGACTGAAATCTTAGGTAGAATTTGGGAACTGGACACAATCCCATCCGACTGGTCTCAATCATTGATTGTCCCAATCTATAAGAAAGGACAGAAGTCTTCTTGTGACAATCACAGTGGAATAAGTCTAACTAATATAGTATCTAAAATATTGGCCTCAATAATACTTCGACGCTTAACGAAAGCTCGTGAAGAGCAGACTAGCGAAAACCAATCTGGTTTTCGACATGGACGTGGTTGTATAGACCACATCTTCACACTACGACAGGTCCTGGAACACACACACATTTAGGCGTCCTACAATAGTTGTGTTCCTGGACCTAAAAGCGGCATTTGACTCGGTAGATCGTGAGGTTCTGTGGCAGTGTCTGTCATTGAAAGGTGTACCAAATAAGTACATTAACCTCATACAAGCTCTCTACTCGAACACCACTGGTCGAGTGAGGGCTTATGGCTAACTGTCACCGGAATTCTTCGCTTCAAGTGGTGTCCGTCAGGGATGTCCACTTTCTCCATTCTTGTTTAATTTTATCATAGACATGCTCCTAGAAATAACCTTATCGTCGTCTGAATTTTCAGGAGTGGACCTTCTACCAGAAAAATCGCTTACTGATCTAGAATATGCCGACGAAATAGTTCTCTTTGGTGAAGACGCTGACAAAATGCAGAGTCTTCTGACTATCCTAAGCAACAATGCAAGCATGTTCGATATGCGGTTTTACCCCTCGAAATGCAAAATCTTGCTTCAAGATTGGGTTGCATCGGCACCTGAACTAGTGATAGGGAGTGAAGTAGTCGAACGTGTTGATCACTTCACTTATCTTGGGAGTCTCATCAGTGTTGATGGCCTGATGACTGACGAAATCTCAGCTCGGATACAGAAGGCTCGATTAGCTTTTGCCAACCTGCGTCACTTATGGTGTAGGCGAGATATCCGTTTGCTGACTAAAGGAAGAGTGTACTGCGCAGTAGTTCGCTCTGTTTTACGTTATGTCTGTGAAACATGACGAATGAGAGTAGAAGATATTCGTAGGTTATTGGTTTTCGATCATAGGTGTCTTCGAAGCATTGCTCGTATATTGTGGGACACTCGATTGAATAACGCTGTTATTAGGAATCGGGTGCTAGGTAAGAATGGCAGATCAATAGATGAAGTAGTGAAACTTCATCAGTTGAGGTGGTTGGGACAACTGTTGCGTATGCCTCGACTGACTGGACGAGCTATATTTTGTGGTGTAGGATTAGATTGCAAGAAAGCTAGGGACAGCCAGACCAAAACATGGCAGAAATGCATGAAGTCATATACGAGTTGACTTAGCCATGTCGGTAATTGTCGACTACCTGGTTGGGGTCCGCGAGATGATAATAATCGATGATTAGATACCCTGAATGACATGGCTCAAAACCGTTTGCAATGGCGCCGATGCATTTATTCTTTGTGTTCTCTCAAATCCTAATCTTCTGGATCCTTCAACACTAGTTTTGACTTTCTAAACATTTCTCACTGAATCATACTTCGTGAATAATATCTTCTAATTCTAACCTCTCCGATTACTTCTGATGACTTTACTACCTCTTCGTACTATTGGATTTGAATTGACAATTATATCTCTGTGCTGATAAGATATGGGGACATGAACTGATTTACTTACGTACGAAGTTCTACGTTGCATCTGACTGACTGAATTGATTACCTACTTAGTATTCATTATTATAGTGAGGTTTTGATTTCCTTGTCAGTGTTCATCTAAAAGATCATAGATATGGTTTTAAATAACGTTTAACGGAAATATGCAACATCCAGCCACTAAATGATGATAAAAGAGGAATTAATTGCCTGTAGACGACAAACATACTGATCACTATGTTGTAAATAACCTCAGCGTTTTCTTCCAGTTAAGCAATTCTCAAAAAAAACTCTAGGACAATAACTACATCTTTTTCTGTCTATCATGTAAGAATTTGAATTTCCCTGTTGTTGATACTAAAAATCATATTTGATCTGTGCCAATTGGTATGTGTTTCTCCTAGGCGGATTACGTTCATCATCACAAGTTCTACATAGGTTGGATTATATATAGTCAGCAAGAGAACTCGTCCTGTTTCATACTCCAGCTGAGTGTACCACCACGACCACAGTATTTTGCATACTTTCACTCTTTTATCCATATCATTTTTTCACTCCATCGCGTTATCCACTGACCTACTAAGTCCTCCGGATAGTCACTAGTTTATTCCATTGTACAGGTTAGAGTTTTCTCTATTTTTTAAAAATCATGAACAACTGTATTCAAGCAGTCTATATTGGTGTATGTGTATTCTAGTTAGATAGATTGAAGCATGCATCCTAGATTTCACTGCCATTGATCACAATTTCACTTTACTGACAGTCAATCTCTTTTTCTTTCAACTGTCTCTCTATTGTTCATATTTGTTTTCTAGCTGTATGGTACATTCCTTTGGAGTTATTGATTTATTTTTCTATTTCCATCCTTTTTCTCAGCACAATTTTTTTTTATTTTTCCACTGAAACATTTCTATGTCTAGGATTTTTATCGTCATCTTTGCACCAATTCCTTTACAGTTTTTTTTTATCTTTTCAAATACTGTTTTTTTCTTCTGTCCAGTAATTAATTTACACTTTGAATAGATGCACACTCACATGTGTGCTAGTTACGTTTCAATGTCAGTTATGGTGGTTGTGTGTGTGTGTCTTTTTTCAGTAGCTTATTCAACTGTAGTGCATTTGTTTTCTACAAAGTCGAATCTTCCATTTGTCACTCTTCTCCCTTCAAAATTCATTGTTGATCCAATAGTACATTCTTTATAATACTGGATTTATGTATTTAAAAAAACGAAAGAATCTCATTGATCTAATTTTTCTTGAAAAATAAGGATTTTTCAGCAAAGAGTATTTTCTTCTAGACTGTTACGCGTGCACGTAAACATGTCAATTTGATATACTTGAATTATTACGAGTTTACCTTAGTCGAAAAACGAGAGTGAGGATCCGGCGACACAGCAGGCTACTCTAATCCGATTATCCCAACCCCCCATTGAGTAAAAAAAGAAGACTTGATATGACGTAGAACCTGTATTTTACAAACATCCGGAAAGTACGAGGTCCGAGGTTCAGAAGAGAATCAGGATCCCTGACTAGAAATCCGGGTCCATGTCATAAAACGTTACAGATAATGAATATTTATATAGTTAGGTCAAATAGGAAACAAAGTCTGTGATACTGACAGTTAGGACGACCATAATATTGACCAGTAGGAATTGGCCAATAGAATTAGACTTCCAAAAATAATTCTCTTAGGATATTTGATGATTATCTTAACATAGACAATGTCATTTTTTTCAAAGTTGTACAATTAAATTTGTAGATAATTCGTTGACATATAATCTATGGTAAAATTATCCAAGATAATTAGACTTATTCAAGTGAAATTCAATGAAAATGAAGTGATATTGCATAATGTAATCATGATTATCATAAAATTTGATGTATTTATTATAATCGTTTCTAAAAGAAAGGATGTTATTTCAATGTGATAAAAGTTTTCAAGTATTGTTGAATAAGCGGCATGTTGATTTATTTTGCGAAGTAATCGAGAATTTTTCAAGAACCACTGTTACGTAATAGTTTCGGAAGTAATAATCTCTAGAATAATGGTAGACGATAAATGTCAACAATAATAAAGAAGGATAAGAAGAAGCACTTATGATTTGTAAATTTCGAATGAATTGATAAGACTATGGTATAGAGAATAAGGGATTAAACATGAGTTTTTTTTTACACATTGATAAGATTTAAAATGGTGATTTGCTATGGTTTCGGTTGTGTACAACTTCTTTATCCAAACGTTTTTTTAAGGCAGTTTGTTTTACTTCTAAGAGAGCATTTTGAATGATAATTCCCCTGGTGCAGTATGACCCAAATTGAGCGTTATAAGAAAGTGACATTAACTTTATATCATGTAACTAGACGAATTAAGTATTTCTTACACCCAACAAATCACCAGGGGATTCACATCAATCTATGACCAATAACCTTATCAATATAGATCCAATTTACTGAAGTATACGGAAGACGTCAGTCAGTCAGTTCTATGGTTAGAGCTCAATTGAATAAATCCTTTAACCAAACTTTAAAGACCAATGAAGATAAGCAAATCAGATTCTTCGAACGGATTAATTAAGCGCTTGTGAAACAATCAAAGAAACTGACATCATATCGAGTAGGCTCTTATATAATTATTGTCCAGAATGATAATGAAAACTTTGTATTTTAACTGTTTAGTTTAGAAAATATGTATGTATTTCATTTGATTAATCATTCTCCTTCTTCTTTTCTCATTCTTTTTTTTATATCAGACAAAACTCCATTCAAGAACACGTTATCTTGTTAGATTCCCATTTTTAACAGATGAAGAATTTTCTAATTGGTTAATTACTTGTGATAGTAGTAAAGGTGAAGGTTATTCATGGGCTGAATTTGTTCGATCGTCTAGATCAGCTGCAGGTTGTGCTAATGCATTAGGTGTAAATGAAAGTGTTTATCCAAATAGAGTCAGTGGTGGTGAGACTGGGGACACGTCCACATCATCATCATCATCAACAACAACACCATCGATAATGTCATCATTTGACGATCCGAACAAAGATCATGAATTCGGTTATACTCTTCCAGTTTCTTAGTGAGTTTTTTTTTAATTATTTTTGTATTTAGGTTTCAGTGTGCAAATGTGTTTCTATTCTGATGAAAGTTAGCATAAATACCAATTTCTGTCAGATCCTATTATGTAATCAAGATAATTTCATTGATAACTAGTTCTATAATTAGATAACGTGATCATATTTTTTCTTTGGGTTTTTTCTCTCTCCAAAACTCTGGAACTATTAAGTTTTCGATTAGATCGTCATCAGGCTTTACTCTAATATACATGAATATTTATGTATGAAAATGTTAAACCAATCAAGGCAGTTTGAGTGATAATCACAATGAAATGAAAAATATGATAACTAAAGTTTTATCAATAGTAGATCAAACGTGGATGAATAGACTTCAAATAATCAATAAAAACATCAAAACCATCACTTAATAAGCAAATGTGTAAGAACAAAAAATAAAAAATATAATGTCAATTGTTAGTTACGTCATATCCGGCCACGGAAGAGATATGGGTGTCACGAATTTCTTCTGAACACATAAATTGGGGTTGAATGTACGTATTCCTATGGCTTCTGCAATGTGTAGGAGACGGGATCGAACTCGGTTGGAAAATGATGGACGTTTACGATAGATCACCCAAAAAGATCTAGATTTAGCCACAATGTGACCACTATCTACCAGGTGTGCTAAGATAGAACTGCGTATTGTTTTTGACTGATCCTTCTTAGACCATGTTGGGAGACGCTCACTCATTCGTTGGGTAAGTTGCCTGGTAGTACGCCCGATACAGCTATCTCCACAGGATCAGCTGAATTTGTAAATGCACATAGAGGAGGCCAACTCAGGTAACTTATCCTTCGTTTCGGTAGACATCTGTGGTCGACTGGAGAGTGTCAATGCAGGTTTGGCAGCGTTGAATGTTCTATTAATTACTCTTATTAATCTGTCCTGCAGAGTATCGCGTGCTACATCTCCGTTGAATTGTAACTTCATAAATAAAGGCTTCTTTTGGGCGATCGAAACCACCGACTTCTTTTTTTACGGCAAACATATACTTCTTTATGAATGCGCTGGGATAAACAATCTCGGTTAGTGAGCCGTTGATGAATTCCAGCTCCTGACTTAAAGTATCCACTGAACATATCATATTTGTTCTGTTAGTGAGACATCTAACCAAATTTCTTTTGTAGCGGATAGGTAATTCGGTAAATGAAATTGTAAACTGTTATCAGATGAATAGGTTGAAATAAATGTTATTGCCCCTTAATTATTGCCTGTTGGAATGCGTTGTACTCGTTGACATCATAGTATTTTGGAGAGGAACAATGAAAATGACATCAATTAACAAATCTCATTGTTCATTGACTTACAAACAACAAACCAGGAAGTGGTTAGTGTCCTTCATTTATTACTCAAATCTTTGTATTTAATAACAATTTTAAAATTTACTTATAACAAAAAAAATCACATTTATAAAATTTTGCTGTAATGAATGAAAACTTGAATGCTGGTTTCAGTTGTCTATAATCAACTAAAAGTATGAAATTTATACAGTTCATTCACTATTTGAATATAATTCTTGTCATACAAATATAATTACAGTCTTATTACAATCTTAATGTTTATGTGTCAGATATTACCATCTAAAGTTGATTCTGACAATTTCATATTGTAATAAATTTAATGAGAAAATCAAATGTTTGGTTAATATCCCATTGGAATCCGTGTATGATTAGTCTGTAATTATTATAATCTTTCACTCCAGTCCGATAGTTGATTAGTTCACCTATGTCACTAGTCGGACCAGTAACCTGTTAACAAGTACCAAGACGTGTTAACTCTTATTGGTCGTCAAGCTCCTTCTAACATAGAATACAGTCAGAAGACGAAGATAGATAGTAGATTAGTTCTTTATTCTACACTATTTAACTCGAACTTAAAACTCACAGCAATACAATAAAAGAATCACGATATGTTCAAAATGTAATGTGCAGTATAATTCAAAATCGGACTTATAAAGAAACAATCGAATATATTCATGGTCAACCAACATGGCTGCTGCACATGCACATCGCTGCGTTGATATACAGCGCAAGGATACTCACTGTTGCCAACAGTACTGACCCCTGCCCCTTTCGGGTACATACATGTTGTCCGGTTTGGTCTGCAGACAAGTCGGACATCCAAGAAGCACGCATATGAGCAGTGGCCCCTGCACGGGCACTTATGAATCAAGAAATCCCACCAACCAAGCCACAGCCCACAATCTCCAATCGGCGAGGGCGGCAAGGCGGGCTTATCCTTCCGGACAAGGGACCCCGTAGCAGGTTACCGAGCCACCCAAGCAGTGCACTAACCAGCAGCCATTCCAACCGTCTGGCCTCCAACTGCCTTGCGTTGATACAATCGATCGAGGCCCGTCTTACCCCGCGTGAAGCTCAAGATCGAGTTTGTCCCACAAGGTCAGCTAGAACGTACACCTTTCCATGAGGAAGATGTCATGAACTCGACCAAACGCAAGCGCTCAGCCAAGCAGGGCTCATCCCACAGAAGTGGGCAGACATCATTGGTGTTTAGTACCCTTTCAGCACTAAAGCACCGGAACCCAACTTGAGACCCTTGTTTAAGGGGCCTCGACGCCAGTTCACACACTACATCAGGTGCAGCGTGTAAGGGATGACCACATAGGGCTGGCGTCTATAGTCCAGGATGTCTACGGCTGCCTCCCCGAACATAGGGTCCAGGGCCGCCCTCAATCATCCTACTACATCCTTTTCAACGGCGTTTAGCCGCAGCGATATATCCACCGCCACGTTACTAGCGGGACCACGAAGAGGTAGCCGCCACCACAACCCCCTCAAAGGCACCAATATTGCTCAACCCGAGGCCACCTCAGGCATTCTAAGGCTACGCCCCGCCAATTAGATGACGAGGCATTTGGCTACCTTAAGAGAGTCATAGTTACTCCCGCCAAACAATCGAATAATGACATTTGACAACAATTTATAGGTCAAATGAAAACGTAGAAATAAGAGAATTCCAAACTAGTACAACTAATTATAAAATAAAAATATAGATAATAATCTTTCGTATGATAATTTTAAAAGTTGTACTTCGACACTACTCAGTCTATTGTATATCTATACTATACACTATAACATTGAATAGAATGATTATACCATCAGTTTAAAGTCGGTAATGTCTATTGTCATCAGATAAGATGATGAACAAGTACTTTAGGATATATACCATTGATTTCTAGATTAGTTGTGTAGAAAGAAAAGCCTATGGGGAACTTATATTATTCAAGTATCAATATAACTTAAACATTTCTAATTACACAGCTCTAAACTACTGAAATGTTCAAGTAACTATGTGAAAGCTTTCTTTTAAATCATCATCATGATGATTTATTGATCAATGTTCAATTCATGGGATGTCAGTCAGTCAGTCAGATGCAACGTAGAACTTCGTACGTAAGTACATCAGTTCATGTTGCCATACCACATTAGCACAGAGATGTAATTGTCAATTCAAATCCAATAGTAGAAGAGGTAGTAAAGGTATTAGGAGTAATCAGAGAGGTTAGGATTAGAAGATATTATGCAAGAAGTATGATTCAGTGAGAAAAGTTTAGAAAGTAAAAACTAGAGGCGTTGAAGAATCCAGAAGATTAGGATTTGAGAGAACACAAAGAATAAATGCACAGGCGCCATCGCAAACGATTCATGGGATGAATAAAATTTGTACACTAGTCTGCACCAACTATCTTCAAGTGTGCTACACATACCAGATACAACAACTTTTCATGTTGTATCATATAAGTCTGATAGTTTATTGACTATATGTTTAGATTCTGTTCTGAGTAATATACTGATAAAATGTTGAAATCGCTTTTCCTCATCAGAATACATAGAAAATGTAACAAAATTGAACTAAAAAGAATTATCTTAATGTAAATAAATAAATTATCAAGTGTTTTTCATATGTATTATTATCTTATATATATTTATAATATTTGAATCTATTCGTAATGCCATTTACCTTCAGTCCAAAATTTCTCTATCGACCTGGTGGTAAACAGGCGAGTTCGTCAGCGATTGTCATGACATCAACGGATTCGAAATTTAAAGGTTATGGTCATTTTCGTGGTTTCATTAGTACACGTGTTCCTAAACGAGGTGATCTAGTTCGTGCGGGTTTTGCTAATCTTCGTAGTCCAGAAAGTAGATGTTTTGGATTTGTTATGCCTTATGGTCTTGAAGCTTATTCACATTTAATTATCAGGTAGGTATATGTATACATGTCAAATATTATAATAGAATAACATTAACACAGTTATTGTCACAGATAGTAACATTAGTTCTTTTATGATTGAAAACTAAAGGAACAATACTCCAGACAGTTGAAGAGTTTTGTGTTAGGACTATAGACAGCTGTTCAATTTGTTTCACTTCGAAATGCTACCGTAACTCATCATTAAACTTAACGCTTAATGCATGATACAATGAAGAACTTCAATCCTCCTTCAAAGGACAACTTTGCTTTGAAGAGACTTCTTGGTCATTCAGCAGAAAGTCTGTTTATTGAACTTAGTCATGTTAGTAGGTACCTGATTGTGACCCACGAAACAATCGTAACCGGTGGTTAAGAGACTTTGAATGATATGGTTGGAAATCATTTGTAATGGTACAGATGCATCCATCCCATAACTTTCTGTCAAATTCTAATCTACTGAATTTCTAATGACCTTTATTCTCTTTGAAAAATTTATTTCACTGGGTTATACTTCGTGAATCATCTCTTTGATTCCTAAATCATTTCGATTACCACTATTATTCGCAATGGCGCCAGTGCATTTATTCTTTGTGTTCTCTCAAATCCTAATCTTCTGGATTCTTCAACGCCTCTAGTTTTTACTTTCTAAACTTATCTCATTGAATCATACTTCGTGAATAATATCTTCTAATTCTAACCTCTCCGATTACTTCTAGCACCTTTACTACCTCTTCTACTATTGGATTTGAATTGACAATTATAGCTCTGTGCTGATGTGGTATGGCGACATGAACTGATGTACTTACGTACGAAGTTCTACGTTGCGACTGACTGACCACTATTACTGCTTCAAACTATACTGCTATGAAATTTGAACTGACAATTTCATCCTTCTATGCTATTGGTATTGTGACTCTTGAACTAATGTTCGTAGGTACGAAATTTTAAGTTGTAGCTAACTTACTGTCACTGACTAGGACATAACATCTGTCCCGGTGCTTTCAGGTTTTTGATTATGGTTTAGCTAAAATCATTTCTTCGCAAATCCCCTAATATGAATTTGATTTGATTTTGCACAAACAGTACTACATTTATATTCTGCAATTGTAAACAATGTACGTGCCTCAAACCTGATAGGTTTTTATGATTATTGATTTAAAGCATATAACCACTGTAGGACCTGTAGAAAAAAAATATTCTTCATTCATCTATCAATATTTACTGATTTGATTTTATTCAAGGAAATTGGCTAATAGAAAAATTTATTTACATAAATTAATCATTTTGCTTGTAGACTCAGAGTCATAGCACAACAATCATAATGTAGTTGTGATTCGAAATCTCCGATATACATAGATGTTCTAATGTAACGATGATTATTATTGATAAGAGTGTTTTAAGCGGGAATACAAATTGATACATAAAGACTCTAAATCAAATAAGAAGCAGAAGAAGAAGAAGAGGAATTAGTTTTGATTCGACTTACAAATATCTCGTTTGTATTGAATTTTTTTCATGCAAAAGTCTTCTCTTCTTCACTTGGCCAAATCAATGAATTGCCTCTTTTTGCATTATATATCCTATATAAGTTGAACTAGTTCATATTAGGATATTACGAAGGCTAAGTAGCACAAGTTATGTAAGACAAAGTTTAAGACTTTGTGAATTACATAAAGCGATCAAATATAAAGCATATTATATATATTTATATATATGTATTTGTGCCTGAACAAAAATCTATTGTACAAAAAATGCAGTCAATTATGTCAACGTAATTAGAGTAGAGTTTTTTTTTCAATCGTATGAGTAACTATAATTAGGCTTACAGATAAAATATTTCAAGTTTTTCATAGCTTGATCTATTTTGTAGGTGTTATTTTGTTTACAGATATCTTTCTTAAATATTTTACCTGTTATACTGTCCAGGTAAGTATTTGCACTTAATAAAGAAAACTGTACTCAAGTATTGAACTGGGATAAAAGGATGTATGATGTATGAATTATGAGTTACACCTCCAGACTTATGTAGACATCATTATGGTCATTAGAATCGGTAATAAAGAAGTTGCAAAAAGCGTCAAGATCTTGATGAGTCAAACTTATGAGACTTAAAGTAGTACTACTTGATTGATCAGTTGTTTAGTTGCAGAGATGGCCAATAATGTTACTACTGATAGAATTGTGTTGTGGATTCTTCCAGGTTTCCAATGGTTGTCTAACATTGATCGATTCATGATTTCAAAAATGTGTAAGTTAACAATCTTCACAACTCCGTAATGCAAATTACCTGTGCTCACTAGTGACTAGCTTCGTGAGGAATCTTCTCCGAGTTCTAGTGGGAAGACGTGACCAGTGAAGTTCGGCCTGTTCGGGTGTAGACAGTAACTACTGAAGACTGTGTATGAGGTTGCGCAACTCCGTGAATTGATCAAGTTAGACATTAACACCGTTAGAATACCGGCTCAGTGGTCAGATGGTTATGCGTTCGCCTACAATACCGAAGGTCCTGGGTTCGAATCCTGTGAGGTGCAGGAGTCGTGGATGCGCACTGCTGATGATCCCCATATCAGGACGAAACGGCCATCCAGTGCTTCCAGGTTTCTAATGTTGGTCTAACATTGATCGATTCATGGTTTCGAAAATGTGTGATTCTTGTATTGTCATCATTATATTTGACTATTTCTACTTTACATACATTTTGAATTAGAATACTTGACAGCTTTTTTTAAAATATCTCACTTTAGATATCGTGGTGATGGCCGAAAATATCAAATTGTTGTGCTACCTCGTGCATCATGGGACTTTGATCGTTACGCGTCACATCAATATACATTGTATACTCGAGGTGGACCATATTGGCAAATAGCTAAAATTCCATTATCTAAATTTTATCGTACTAATTCGAATCTTGTACATAGTACACAATTTCCTGCAAATCTAGGGAATATGCGCTTGATTTCATTTACTTTAATGGATGATATTGAAGGACCATTTAGCTTAGAGTTGGATTATATTGGTTTATATTTTGATCAAGAACAAAGTGAAGCTTTTGATTATGAACGATATACCAGATCAGGATTTATCAACTAAATTGTACTTTATGCTTGGGCTATTTGCAGATTGTAAACCAATTGTCCCATCGTAGTCTTATAATTAAAAACATTTTTATTTACATGGGATACTCAACTTCGCGATTTTCTATTGTAAATAATGTTGTAAAGAAGTTTAATGTGACTTTTCTGCCTGAGATCTTGATGGTGCCTACTTGTTACCTCTCGTCAACTTAGGCCACCAACCAGGATTTTCCGACCAACTCTGTCTTAGGCTCTCTCTTGTGATCCTGGACAGATGTCAATGATAATGTGTTGAAAAAGGCATATTATTAATTTCATTCAAAGTAGTTTTGTAAGCTTGGATCATCGCTGATATCATCGAGAGAAATTGTACAAAACAAATAGTTTTGAGTCAAATATATGTTTAATTAATACGACAGTCTTTTCAGGTTATTTGCGAGTGTTGTATGCTTTCAGAATATATCCAGATACTTTATTTGTTTGAAAGCAGTCGGTACTGGAAGATACTTGAAGGAACATCTTAGGAATTATTTAGTTTGACAAGTTCTAACTGTCGTACATTACACTTCAGATGGGTTAGGGTTACTAACCTACTAACTTATACCCGTCACCCCCAATGGATCATAGGCCGCCGACCAGTATTCTCCAACATACTCTCTCTGGGGTTTCCCTTTTCAATTCTGTCCAATTTTTGTTCATTTTTCTCATATATTTCTCTATTTCTCAACGTAATGTGCTTCTTGGCCTTCCTCTTTTCCTTTTACCTTGAGGATTCCAAGTGAGGGCTTGTCTTGTAATCCAGTTGTGTGCTTTCCGCAATATGTGTCCTATCCACTCCCACCGCTTTTTCCTGATTTCTTCCTCCATAGGAATCTGGTTTGTTTTTTCCCACAGTAGATTGTTGCTGATGGTGTCTGGTCAACAGATCTGAAGTATTTTGTGTAGACAACTGTTAATGAATACTTATATCTTATTGATGATGTCTTTCGTAGTTTTCCAGGTTTCCGCTCCATATAGTAGAACTGTCTTGATATTTGTATTGAAAATTCTGATTTTGGTGTTTGTTGACAGTTGTTTTGAGTTCTAGATGTTCTTCAGTTGTGGAAATGCAGCCCTTGCTTTGCCGATCCGTGTCTTCACATTTGCATCGGACCCCCCTTGATTGTCAATGATGCTGCCCAGACATGTAAAGGTGTTAACACTCTCCAATGCATCTCCATCAAGAGTGATTTGGTTGGTGCATGTTGTGTTGTATTGCAGAATCTTGCACACCGTAGTGTTGAAGAAGCCTCCATAGTGTTTTCCTGTTCACGCTATCGAACGCTTTCTCGTAGTCAATGAAGTTGATGTAGAGTGGTGAGTTCCATTCAATTGATTGTTCCACAATGATCCGTAATGTTGCAGTTTGGTCACTACACGATCGGTCTTTACGAAATCAAGCCTGTTGATCTCGAAGCTAGGCGTCTACGAAGTCCTTCATTCTGTTTAACAATACCCTGTAGAAGACTTTTCCTGGTATTGAGAGAAGAGTGATGCCTCTGTAGTTCTCACACTTACGGAAATCGCCTTTCTTTGTTATTTTTATGAGGTATCCTTTCCAGCCTGTTGGTATTAGTTCTTGATCCCAAATCTTGTTGAAGAGTATGTGGAAAAGTTTTGCAGTTGCTGCCACGTCTGGTTTCATTGCCTCTGCTGGAATGTTGTCTGGTCCTGCTGCTTTGCCACTCTTGATTTGTCTGATTGTCATGTTAATCTCTTCAGTTGTTAGTAGGCCAACATCGATTGGGAGGTCCGTTGATACTGCTTCGATGTGGATTGGGTTCAGTGGAACTGGTCAATCCAAGAGTTCCTTAAATTGCCCTACCTACCTATTTCGCTGTTCTTCAATGTTGCTGATTAATTTGCATTCCTTGTTTTTCACTGGTCGTACAGGTTTACGACAGTTTCCAGCGAGCTTCTTTATTGTATCGTACAATTGTCTCATGTTTCTTTCGCTTGCAGCCTTTTCTGCCGTCATTGCTAGATCTCCCACATATTTTCTTTTGTCGGCTCTGATGCTCTTCTTCACTTTCCTTTTTGCTTCTGTGTATTCAGCTCGTGTCTTGACTCTCTCTGCTCCTGTTCGGCTGACGTTGATTGCTGCCTTCTTGTTCCTCGTCTGCTGCATTTTATCAAGAGTATCAACAGAGATCCACTCCTTGTGATGGTGCTTCTTGTAACCCAGAACTTCCTGACATGTTGAAGTGATTGCCTCTTTGATTCCTTCCCAATTGTTTTCCGTGGTAGTTTCTTTACCGCTGATTAGATCGCGCAAGGCCTGAAACCTATTCCCCGGGGTTATCTTAAGTCAGTTGAGTCTTCTAGTATCCCGAAGAAATGCCGTATTATACTTTCATGATGTCCGTACCATTTTCCAGTGCTTCTTGAGTTTCATTTTGGTGACCAGCAAGTGATGATCTGAGGTTGTATTAGCTCCCCTCTTGATTCTCACATCTTCCATCGTCCTTCTGAACTTTTTGTAATTGCAGATATGGTCGATTTGATTCTGATTAGTGTGATCCGGTGAAATCCATCTAGCCTTCTATATGCGTTCGTATGGGAATATTGTGCCACCGATGGCCAGTTTTTTGGAGGCACATAGGTTTGCAAACCTCTCACCGTTTTCGTTCCTTTCTCCCAGTCCATGTCGTCCCATGATGTCGTCTTGTCCAGTATTGTCCATGCCGACCTTAGCATTTAGGTCTCCCATTAGAACTGTCAAATCCTTTTGAGAGCATCTGTCGACGATTGACTGCAGCCTCTCTTGGAATTGATCTTTAACGTCATCTATTTAGTCGTCAGTAGATGCGTAACATTGTACGACGTTCATTGTAATGTCCTCTTTCTTTGTTTTGAAGGATGCGTCCATGACATTACCATCCAATCAGTGCCTTCTGTGCTTCTTTGGGAAGTATCAATGTGACTCCTTGTGTGTGACACATCTCCATAGCCGGAGTACAACAGCAGCTCTCCTGAAGCTAGTCTCAGTTGTACAACTTTCATCCTATGCGTTTCACTGATTCCAAGCAACTTCACGTTGTGTCTTTTCATCTCTGAAGCAACTTGTAATAGGCTTTCGGTCTCCCACAATGTTCGGACATTCCATGTACCTAAAAAAATGGTTGCTGTGTTTGTCCGAAGGGGCATCAGAGTCGTGACCTCCGAAGAGACTTGGCTTTCTCCATGAGATGTCATAACTCTTCTCAATGAAGACCATCTAACTCCCAGGGCAGAGTCAAAATGGTTTGAATTGATTTTTCTGGTCAGCGTTCTTTTAGCGAGCTAGTTTTTTATGGGATGGTGTCGCTAACCCTATGTCCAACTCTCCTCCTTTATCCGGGTTTGCGACCGGTAGTAGTCCGAGAAGGGCTCCAGGCGGAGGTCATATGGGCGGTTATTTGGGGTTTATTTTAGTTAGTTACCCAGAGACTATTGACGATTAAGTGGGCACTGATGTTTTAAAATCATCATCATTTAGCATCGAAAATGACGAGTATAATTTGAGCAAAAATGTAACTTGACAGAAACGTTTGCCGAGATGAATTAATCAATATATCCATTATCTTTTTCACGAGGTAGTATAAACCAATTGCACTCGATTCTTGTTCTTTCAGTATGGTTCCAGGTATTTAGTAGTTCCGCATGTAGAGAGAATCCCGTTGAAAAATTAAAGGGAGGTGGGTAAAAAGACGCTTCTCATACACGGGGTTTCTTTGATGTCCAAAGAAGCCTGAAAACCACTTATAGGATGAGAGTCTCATGGTCATAGGATCATTAAAGCATCATTCAAAAGAAAGAAAGCAGTGATCAAATTAAGTATTATTCAGCGCTTTGCGTCTACCAACGATAACGATGAGGACGATAAAAATCAATTATATGAAAGGCTGCAGTTAGTCTTCGAGAAATGCTGAGCAAAGGATTTGACCATTCCGATAAGAGAACTTAACTCAAAGGTTGTAATGAAAAACACTGAATATGACGACACCATGGAATGACACTAACTGGGAGAAAGGAACAAAAAATGTGAGGGGTTCGCAAAAAAGTTTGGAAGGTTCATGAAGGGCGTAAAAACCAAGGGAGGAGCTGACAGATCCAGACCGTCACTTGATGGCAGCCAGTGTAGCGGCAGCAAACTTCAACATACACTAAGGGAGGAGCAAGACCCTCCGATACGACTCAACATGCACCAACCAAATCACACCTGACGGAAAATCTTAGGAAGATATGAAATCCATTATACATCTAGGTGACATAATTGATCAGTATGGTGGATCTGAGGCGCGGATTGGCAAAGGTCCGCGTTTCTGCAATTGAAGATCATCGTTACTCAAAACAACTGTCAACCAACATCAAAGTCAGAATTTTCAACACAAATGTCAAGACAGTTAGTTCTGTTGTATAGATCGGAGACTTGGATAACTACTAAAGCCGTCACCCATAAGAGACAGGTGTTTATTTGCAGTTGTTAATGCAAGATAGTAATTTCGCCTCGTCCTTTTATGATTCGGTAGCGCAAGCCCTCTGAGTAGGAGCTAGTTATCGGCCGCAGGTAGTGAGCGAATGTTACAGAACATTATGAATTGGTTGGAGTTGGACGTTAGAGCCACTGAGTGCTAGTTTAAAGGTCTCGAGTCTAAGCGTTCTCGCGTGAAGCACAAGGTCTTAGGCTCTATTCTTCTGTTCAGGCTTGTAGATGCGCACTGTTTCTGAGTCCTACACTAAAACGAGACAGCCATCCTGTGCCTCCAAGTTCATAATTGTGCTCTTAATTTGATTGATTCGTGCTTTTAACTATGATAATAGTCTACTGAGCTTCAATACCATTCAGGTGATGTATCATTATTTTGTTAGGTATGGATATATATTGTACCCTGAGATATCGAAATAACATCATCAGTTATTATAAATTTTATATAAGGCGAAATAATGAAGAATTTATAGATAAAAACTCAGTATATCGTGCAACATAACCCAAAGCTTCAACATAGAGCTTCACGGTATTAGATTTAATATGTTAATAGACGTCTTCATAGATAATCTAGTTTTAATAAATATACGGGTCTTTGTTCATAGCGTATTAAATTATTTCAAGTGAATTTAGTGGTAAGGGTTGTTCGTCTTGAATACATTAGGTGACATTAGTAGTAAAGCGAGATTCAACTCGAATTTTAGATTACGTGTTTTTTCATAATATTGACTGGCCAAAACGACGACGAACACTGTCTTCTAATTGCTTGTAAAGTTGACTACAACGCTATGGTAACTAAACACTTCATTGCAACTACGAATGGCGTAACGTCCAAGTTCCTTCCTGGTTTGTTCTTGAAGAAAGGACAACCGATACTCGTAATTAGGACCCGAATAACAAAAAGTG